GGACCGAAAATCGAGAGGGAGCCCGTCACTTAGCCACAGGACAGCTCCTCACGCAAGGCCCCAAAAATAACCGCCCAGGGATTTTTTCCACCTTTGACAAAGGCAAATCTTTAAATGTGCAGCTGAATGGATGTGGCTTGTTTTTTTAAAAAAAATTTTAACACGACTTTGAAATCCTTTCGTGTAAATGAATTCACAAATGAGAGAAAAGAAGCCTTTGTCAGACTCCAGGCCGACTTTTTTCCCACAGAGGCAAGTCATTGTAAGCGGCTCCACAACCTGCTGTTCCCCCAGACGTGGGCCCGCTTAATGGATAAAGGCCATTATCTGAGATCAATTGCCCACACTTGTACCATGTCCATCCTGGGTCCTGGTTGCAGACACAGTTAGATTACAGAGCTTTCAGAGAGACTTCCATACCCAGCTGGCCGTACTCAGGGCACCCGAAGGAATAGAGGTTCCCCTTGCAGTCCATGATCATACTGAATTCGGCCCCACAGGCCATTTTGGTAATTGGCTGACCGTTGTACATTATCTGAAAAGACAAAACAGCAGACTTTCAGACATGTTTTTCTTAAAAAGACTAAAAAATAAAATAAAATAATAAAATTAAATTAAAATTTAAAAAAAGAAAAAGATTGCCAAACACTGCTCTCTGCAGGTTGGCATCAAGCAATCACTAGGCTACAAAAGCAAACGTAATGGACTCACCAATTCGTAATGTAAAAAGCCCGGAGGAGCTTTTCTCAAACATGAGGCTGGGGAAATGGATGAGGAATCCACCCCCAACACCCCTACCTTTCGGCACAGGGCAAAGTTCAAAGGCAGGTTAGGCTCAGGAGGGCCGTCTTTGGAGCCCTCCAGACACCCAGCGCTGTGCCTGGCATGGACGTCACTGGGTGCTTCCACAAGGCCAGCCCCATTGACCCGTCTTCTAGAAAACCGACACTTATCCCCCCAGTGCCCATGTGAGCCCCTCGCTCCCACGTCACCCACGCCTGGCTTTAGAAGGGTAAGCAATTGCCAGTGACACTGTCAGCCGGGAGAATTAACTGTTGTACTTTCTCTTTACTACTGCAGAGATACTCAGCCAATTAGTCTAATTGAAGGTGTGAGCAAGAAATAAAGCGGTTCAAAATTAAGGAGCAAGAGAGAAGACAGGGAAGGCCCTGAATAATTTAACACAGGAGCAGGAAACAGACCAAGAGAGTACATTTGAAACTTGCGACTGCAAACTACTCAGCCTAGGGGAGTACCGGACATGGCCCGAGGGACCGGAGGCCAGCAGGACACCAGGTAGCAAGCAGAGAGCAGAGATGAGAGCCGGGCTCCGGGGCCACATACTTGACGGCTTGCTCTACTCTGGAAAAATCACAGATGCCCCCACAACTCCGCAAGCTGCCGGCAAATGGGTCACCAGGCCCCAAGCCCCACCCCTCCCGCCTTGTGGCAGCTGTTCATGTTGTGGGTATGAACCCCACCCCTGCAACAGACTAAGCCGCCTTTCTCGATTCTATCCTTGCTCTGGGCACCCAGTAGGCGATTTGTGTTCAAGGTCGAAACTCACAATCCTTGCGGATGAAGACAAATCCCATGCACGGACACTGTCCTCTCTCTCTCTCTGAGAAACGGGCTCATCAGGTTTAAATCAAGGCTGCGAAAACCCCCTTCCCATTTGGAAAGCATCCCTGGTTCCAGGATGTTTCCCAACCGTGACCACAAACAGAGCCTGTGCTGAACACTCGGCTGAACAGCTCTCCTCAGCCACCTCGACCCTGTTTTGACAAGGGGTCAATGAACTGGGAGGATGGAGGGGGGTCTGCAGCCCCACCCGAGACCCTAACAGAGCCAGCGAGGCTCCCCAGAGAGGCAGACATTACCTGTGCGGGGCTCGGCACCGCATCTGTCTGATTGCCCAGGCCCAGCTGCCCCATCTTGTTCTCGCCAAAAGCAAACACGGAGCCCGTTTCTGGGAGGAAGAAACAACAGGAAAGGAAGAATTACCAGGCTGAACATTTTGAACTAGACTTAACCCACAGTTGCCTTGCCAGGAAGCGTGGCCACAAGAGACTGTGCCCAAAGGCAGTGGAAAGGCTGGCCCTTCGAGGAAGTCTGGGGCGGAGAAAGCCTGCCCCTGGTCTCCCTGTGCCCTAGGTTAACTCTCCAGACACCTCCAAAAACCACCCTCTTGTGACTCCCGCTTCCTGGGTGAACCTCTGCTCTCCTGCCAAACTGAGAAGGTGCCCCGGTGACCGCTCCAGGCCTACCTGTCAAGGCCAGGGTGTGGTTGCGCCCACAGGCAGCAGACACAATCACTTCGTGGCTGAGAGCCTCGATGAGCTTGGGGGCTTCCACTCTCTTGGTGTCGCCATGGCCCAGCTGCCCCTTCTCGTTCCGACCTGCAGGGTGTGAGGCACATGAAGGCCAGGAAGAGCGCGGGGACAGAGCAGCCTGGCCAGGGAGCCCCGCTCTCCAGCCAACACCACGCTGGCTGTCAGGACTCGGCGGTGGAAGGCGGCCCCAACCTCTCGGTCATTGGCAGCCTCCTGAGGCCGGCCTGGTCGGGTGACAGGGTAAGGGACATGGGCTGTCCCTAGAGGCGGCCTCTGCAGGCAGCCTGCCAGCAGCAGCCACCTACTTCACCTCCTCTGACCCCCCCTTTCTGGGTCAGCGGTCACACATGCACCTGCTGCACGCGGACAAGTGCGCAGTTTGACATGGTGGCATTCATGCACAGGCGGTGCGTGGGGAACGTGGGGACACACACAGCTTGCTCCTCCTCGCTTCTCACAGTATCTGACAGACGACTCCCCCACGCCCTTCCCCCCCTGGGAGGTATTTTAAGACAACCATCTTCAACACCTGCCTCACAAGGGTTCATTTACCCGGCTCCTCGGGGCATCTACCCTGGGCCACTGTGTTCCTGCTGCCATTTCTCCACCAGAAAAGGGTGCGCACAGAGCCGAGCCAGCCCCCTTCCCCAACCCCAGCCCTTCACCACAAAGCCCTGTTCTGAGCAGACCCCTCTGCCAACAGCGCCCACCCTCCGCCTCCGGCAGATGGGATACTCCCTCTAGCACAGCTCCCTGGTCCCCAGGCAGGCATGGCAAGCAGGGGCCTGCAGGGAGGGCTGGAGGGAGGTCCCTGGGAATGCCTGACAGTACTCCAACACCGACAGTCCCCAAACAGAACTCTGCCAAGGGTCACTCCCAAAGTCCCCCAAGTGAAACCCAACGCTTTGGGGAGAGTTAAGGTGATTCTACCGAATCAAAAGCATTGGACCGATTCTGCAGGGAGAGACCCCAGACCTCCCCAACAGTGAACTATCCCCCAGAGCAATGTTGAGCGCAGAGCCCCAGGGGTGAGCCCATAAGGAAGAGCAGCCTCCCACGACAGGAGGGAGAGCACCTCCCAGGAGTACGCTGATGAAAGGAGGGCCAGCTGACAGGCCAGGCCAGGCTGGCCCCCTTGGGGCGCGCACATCTGCTTAGGGCAGGTCACATCTGCCAGCCCCGGGGGGGCGATCCCTGCCCCCGGGGTCAGCACATGGACGTTTTTTAGCAACACCACGTAAGTGAAATTCAGTGGAGATGAGAAATGGGTTATTTTCAATTTGGGAACTCGGACACAAAATGCAGCACAGGTGTCGGAAGAGATGCTGGGGTGCTGCTTTGGAAGGAGGGCTCACTCGCGCCAATCCCCAGAAAACAAAACGTACTCGGCAAGGTCAGCACCGAGAGACGACAGTGGAAATCTGGGCCAAACTTGTCAAGTTTTTCTTCTCTCTCTCTCTCAACAGAATTACAAAATTAGCAAAGTGCAAGGAAGACAACAGATGTTAATATATTTGGACTTTGGTACATCAGCTCAGAAAATTACCAAAAAAACAGTTCAAGCAGACGGGAATAAACGGCAGTTATATGGACTAACAGCCAGCCAAAGGCCCAGAAACAAAGGGTGGGGACAGGAGCCAATCCCCGCAGCGGGGAGACGGGTCCAGGGGCTACCGGAGGGCTTGGTTTGCTAAAGTGAGCCTGAGTGGCAGTGCCCGTATCGGTCATCTGGAAGAGGAAGCAGGCGTGCTACTCGAGCCTCTGCAGAGGCCCTGCCAGGGGGAGGAGGACGGGGAGAATCAGACAAGCCCACTTGGACCTCGGCGACACTCTCCGGGAGCAGAGCAGACGGAGTTGTGAGCCTGCATGTGGTGTGGCATGCGGTAGCAGCTTTGTACAAGCCAGCAGCACTTCAGGGTTTTAGGCCGCCAGGTCATGAAACGGAGACAGCATGCCTGAAACAGCAACTCTGGTGCAGGCACCTCGGATCCGGAATCGGTGAAGGTTGCTTGAAGAGGAGGACTCGGAGAAGTGGGGCGCTATGTGCAGGAGACTGGAGGGGGTGTGGTGGGGGTGGGGGTGAGAAGAGGTCATGGGGACAGGGGCGCTGCCTTAGGAAGGCGCTGTCCTCTTCCCAGGCAGAAACCCTGCAGGGCAGGGCAGAGCCGCAGCCCAGCTCAGTACTCACCCCAGCTCCACAGCTTCCCTTCCGTGGTGATGAGGAGACTGTGGGCGGCACAGGACCCCGAAACCACCGTCCGCACCCGGACCCCTGACAGGCACCCATACCGATGGGGTCCCCACAAATTCTGACCTAGATTGCGGTAAGCAGCTGCAGAGAGAAAGGGAACACGTCACATACCCCAGGAGCAGCGCCGGCGGCCGAGGACAGGGGCCCCCAAGGGCAAGGATGTCGCTGCAGCCTCACGGGACACCTGCTATTTACTGAGCCTCCAACACCAACATCCCTGGGCCCTGCAGGTGCTGACCCGGGGACCTTCTCACCACCCCCAGGATAGTTCTGGTGTTCCTCACCGCCCCCCGACCCCCCACACACACACACACACCAATGACTCCTAACAGCCCCACCTGGAGGGCACCCTCTGCAGCCAGGATGCGCTTTCTGAGCTGTGACCGGATGTCTCTAGGCACCAACCTACCTGCCAGTCCCCTAGCCGGCTCGAGCTCCTGATGGCTAGTCACTTTCCAAGAATCCCACTGTGCCCTTGGTTAATTCCTGGTCCCTTACATCCGGTTCCATTCACTATCACAGCCAAGCAAAAATCCTGCCAGGCCTAGTCCTTCTAACACAAGGGCTGCCTGAGGCAGGGGCCACTCAACGAGGGGCTGGAGGTTTTGTCTCTGCTTCCTCAGAATGCCCTTCCCGGTCTCTGACTTTCTCTCAAAGCTCAACCAGGAATCTCTTGTGGAGAGCCCCATGGCCCACAAGGGACTTAGAAACCTTCCCTTTGCACCGGGCACTTGCCCCTCAGCCAAAGGTCTCATCAGAGTGCACTCACAGGCTGCCATTCACAGCTGGTAGGAAGCCACCAAGCCCAGCACCCACTCCTGTTAGCGGCGCTGTGGAAGGGAAGAGCCTGTGACCACCTTCTAAAGACCCTGCCTCATTAACAGAGGAGGGAGCCGCCCTCATGGTGTAGGGGTTACAAGTTGAGCTACTAACTGCAAGGTCAATAGTTGGAGACCATCAGCCACTCTTTGGGAGAAAGATGAGGCTTTGAATTTCTGTCAACAATCTCGGAACCCCACAGGGGGAGTCCTACCCTGTCCTATATACAGGGTGGCTCTGAGTCCGCATCTACTCAATGAAAAGTGTCTCCTATTTTGGTATTAACAGGGACATGGCCAGCGCCTGGCATCTTCCACGTAATAGTTTCAATCTGAGACGCTCCAGCACAGAAGTCTAGGCGTGTTCCCAGATCTGTGGGGCTATTTTGAAATGCCTGCAGCTACCAAATCAACGTCGTCAGACTGCTGGCGCTGCAGGAACCAAGCGAAAGGCTAGGAGTTCTACTCCACTTCCTAGGCGTCCAGAGCTAACACCCCAAGACTCTCAATGACTTATAAGGGAGTCATTCTCAGAAAGAGGGCCAGCCCTTCAAATATGGCACTGAAAACCGGCATTATCTTTCCATTTGAAGTCCCAATGAGCATCAAGTCTCCGTGCCTGAAGACACTTCAAGATGGAAAGTCTGGCCGGCAATTTCCAGAAGGAAAGAGGAGCCCCAGACAGCAGCCCCTGCAGCTTGCACTAACGTCTGCGGAGAAACCCAAGGACTGCTTATCACAGGGCAGCACCGGCAGACAGGCCTGCTCCAGGCCCCTAGTGCTAACCCAATGCACAGCAAGGGGAGGGAGGGGAGGTCCCCCAAAGACCGCCTCTCATTGATGTGCCAAAGCACCAGCCCCTTCTGAGCAGTGACTGCAGCACAGCCAGGTGCAGCCGGCTCCAGCAAGGTCTCCCCACTGCTGACTTTGCCGAAGACGCCCCTGCCTACCCCTCTCGTCGCCCAGCAGCCGTGCGGTCAGATGGGCTCCCCGGCCATGACACTGGGGCTAGGGAGAGATCCTCCTCCCAGTGTGACCCCTCCCACCCCTTTACAGCTGGCAGGGAGGATCAGGTTACGTTAGGGTCAGGGCCTAAGATTATGTAAAAATAGCTTTTAAAAAAGGGAATACAGGAAAATTCATCTGGAAGGGGAAAAATCACGGAGGCAAAGGCAGAGATGGGGAAAGACTGGAACAAGCCTCATAATCAGGGCCAATCTGTTCAACTTGAACATGAGGATCCGAGACTTCTGTGTTCCAGGGGG